TAGAGTAATTTTTTTTTTTTTGTCTTTTTCGTGACTGGTAAGGGGATCGCAACCCTTGGTGTGGGGTCACCCACACTGCGCTCAGCCAGTGAGCGCACTGGTCATCCCCATATAGGATCCGAACCCTCGGCAGGAGCGTTGCTGCGCTCCCAGCGCTGCACTCTCCCGAGTGCGCCACGGGCTCGGCCCTGTAATTTTGTATAAGATTCACATCTATGGATTTACTTACACACATGCTCCCAACTGCCTACCAAATCTAAGAAGTAATAGTTTTTCTAGGGAATCAGATGATAAGCCAAAGGAAAAAGAAAAAAATGCTGCTTGTCTTTTATTGCATAAATGCAGACCTGCAGTAGCTGATGCTTATGAAGCACTTACCATGTGCTAGATGCTGCACCCAGTAGGTCCCATACACTAAATTCATTTAATCCACACGAAAATCCTATGACGGTGACACTATTCTCACCTCCATTATACAGATAAGAAAGTGGAGGCAAGGGGGTTTATGTAACCCTAAAATCATAGTTCAAGTGGCTGAACCAGTTTAAGGATGAAAGACCCCCATTTCCTCAGTTTGACATGGAAAATGAAATCCAGGCTGGGAGGACCCTGGGATGCAAGAGACCATGGAGAGCCCCTATTTTTAGGCCATCATCTTTTTTTTTTTAAAGATGACCGGTAAGGGGATCTTAACCCTTGACTTGGTGTTGTCAGCACCACGCTCACCCAGTGAGTAAACCGGCCATCCCTATATGGGATCCGAACCTGTGGCCTTGGTGTTATGAGCACCGCACTCTCCCGAGTGAGCCACAGGCCGGCCCATTAGGCCATCATCTTAATGTGCCAAACCGCACTGTGCCTCACCCTCCTAAAGGAGAAGATTCTACCAACAGGATTAGAAGGTCAAGACAGAGCAGGATAGAATGACCTCCAAGGCCCTTCCTGCAGGCCTGGGCCCTGCAGCTACATGGCCATGGAGGCCTCGACTCAGGCTGGGCTACTGGCAATGGGCATGCGGTCAGGGTGTGTGTGCTGGGGTGAAGATAGTAGGTATTGATTCTTCTCCCCTTCTGTCTTTTATTTGCTATGGATAGGCTATACTGAGTTCACACTTCTGTGGGCACCTGGCCCCCATATTCATTGGCTATTTAACTTTTTTTTTTTGGTGGCTGGCCTTTTCAGGGATCAAACCCTGGACCTTGGTGTCATCAGCACCATCCTCTAACCAACTGAGCTAACCAGCCCCTTTCGTCTTTTAGCTGCTACCTTCTCTTTGTCTTTTAAGCTGCTCATGGTGGCTGGCCTTTTCAGGGATCAAACCCTGGACCTCGGTGTCATCAGCACCATCCTCTAACCAAATGAGCTAACCAGCCCCTTTCGTCTTTTAGCTGCTACCTTCTCTTTGTCTTTTAAGCTGCTCACGTCCTTGCCCCCAGACACAGAAAAACTCAAGCTTTTCTACTGGTCCTCTGAGTTCAGAATAATCCACTTAGGATCAACAATGTCTACTTCCTTTATTTAGATGCCTTCGGCCACCATCTCTGGGGCAGCACTGTCAGGGGGGAAGGAGGGGAACTCTTTAAAGAAAAAAAGAAAATGTAATTACTTGGAAAACGCTTTCATGTATATTGCTGCATTTGGTCCTAACTGTTGAGGAAATGGATGTCCAGAGTTTGAGTCGCAGACAGAGCTAATGACAACCTGTTCTAATTTTTTGTCATGAGTCTGCCTCTCGAAAAATGCCACTATCCTTTGGGGTGGCCTCCATCCCCCTCCTAGGGAGGCCAGAAGGCAGGAACTCAGGCACTATGAGGCCTCCAGCCCCAGAGAGGATCTGAGGGGGACCCAGACAATAACGATATTAAATAAGAATCATGATCATCCACAATTTTATAGCACTTCCTCTATGCTAACATGCTAACAACAACCCTATCAAGTAGGAATTATAGTCACTATTTTACAAAGAAATGGAGACACAGAGGGGTTAAGTAACTTGCCCAAGGTCACAAGGTGTTGAGAGACAGCCAAGATTTGGTCTGGCATGGGTAGGGTGGGAGGCAGCTGGAAAGGAAGGCAACAGGAGGGCATGTGGCTGTGGGTATGGAGCTCAGGGATGGGTGGCAGTGGCGCTCCCAGTTGGCTGGACAGAAGTGCCACTCCTTACTCATTTGACAAACTCACTGTCTGTGGCTCCCATGCTCTGCCACTGCCTAGCATCTCAGAGGATGGGGTAGAGCCTCTTCACCTGATCCAGTCTTCTCATTTTACAGATGAGAACAGGGAGGCCCAGAGGTGAAGATCGTGTAGCTAATTGGTGACAAGGCTAGATCAGAGGCAAAGAGCCCAGCAAGGCGGCACCTGTGATTCTGTCCCATGCCTTGCAAGGCCCTGCAGTTAAACCCACCCAGCTTGGTCCAAGGCCCAGGGCGCCACGTAGCTGCCTAGGTCAAGGAGGACAGGACAGGCTTCTCTGCTCCCTGCTCTATTTGCCCCACAAACTTGGCTTATGGTAAATACCCAAACATTTCCATCCAGGGGAAGAATTTAACACCTTCCTACCCTCTGATCAATTTTCCAGCTGCCTATGGTGCTCAGCTGGGGAATGCTGCCAAGTTTAACCACGATTCTGCCCTCAATACAACTGAAAGTTGCTGTGGCCAGGGAGAATTCCCTTGCTGGGGAAACAGTCTGCTAAAGTAGTAGCCACTGAATCTGAACTTTCCACCTTGGAACTGGGCAAACCCACGTCACCAAGCCCATCAAAGGACCTGAAAATGGATGTGCACTCAGCTCTTGGGCAGAGCACCTGACTCCTCCCACCTCCAGCTTCTGATTCCTAGGAACCCTCCCCTCCTGACTTCTCATCTCCTACCCTCCTTAGCCCCTCCTACTGGTCAGGCCAGGTCCAAGCTGCCTCTATCATCTCCTTCTCAACAGCACAGCACACCCTGGCCAGGTCGCTCTTTCCGAAGCTCAGTTCTCGGTTACTTGGCTGACCAGAGGCTGAAGTGGGCTCAGGACTGCCCCCCAGCCTTCCTCCTGTGGCTGCCCAGTGGCATCCTGTCATTGCCACTGTGAGGCATCCCCCACCCCCATCTATACGCATACAGTGGGACGAGACCTCTCTGCTGCAGTGTGTTCCAGGGACCTGTACTTGTGGCAGAGTCGGCCCAGAGTAAATGCCCACATGGCCAGGGGCTGGGATCTGACCACCTGCCAGCCCCTTGGGCACCTAGGCCAGCACTTGGCACGAAGCCCACCTGGCCCAGCAATAACCCTCCCCTGAAGTGCCCACTCCTTCCCTCTATCCTGCCCCAGGACAGGTGCACAGTGGACAGTGTCAGGCTTCGTGAAAACAAGAGCAAACACTCAATGAGCTCTCGGGATGTCTCAGGTACAATTCTAGCATGTCCCACATCCCTTCACATGTCTTAAAATCTAACTTTCACGACAGCCCTGAGGCAGATTATATTATTATCTCCAGATGAGTAAAAATCGAGGCACAGAAGTCATTAAAAGCTTGATGAAGTTCACAAAGACAGGAAGAGGCAGAGGCAGGTGGTCTGGCTATGAGGCCACACTCAGGACACAGTACGGGGCCTGGCCGTGGTGTTCAGGGGTGGCTGAACCACACTCTCAGCTCTCCACCTTGTATCCTCCACATGGCCTAAAGAGGCAGAGGCAGGTGGTCTGGCTATGAGGCCACACTCAGGACACAGTACGGGGCCTGGCCATGGTGTTCAGGGGTGGCTGAACCACACTCTCAGCTCTCCACCTTGTATCCTCCACATGGCCTCATAGCTGATCTTCTCCCTTCCCTCTGTCAGATTCCAAACCCTAAGGGCAGGAACGTGGAGGTCCCTGGGGCCTGGGCTGTGGAAGACAACCGTTCTGCTGCAGCTCTGGGGACAGGAGTGGCACCGTGGCCAGGAAGGTACAAAATCTGGCCAGCTTAGAGTCCTCATTCTTCCCCTTCCCACTCCCCACCCAAAGGGGCTTACCTGAGCGTGCAGAGCAGCGGCAGCAGCAGTGGCAGCTGGGTAGGTGAACGCAGCGTGGGAGATGGCTGGGGTCAGCTCTGTGGTGTACAGAGGGTAAGGGGCCCAGGCCTCTGGGGATGCAGGGATCAGAGCAGCCCCCATCAGGTCATCTACAATGGGAGACAACAGCCTCCATCGTCAGAACACTGGTCTCCCCTTCCACTACCACCTTACAAAGACAGGGACCCAGCATTATGGTTGAGCCATAAGACCCCCACTGAAGCCAGACACACATCCCCAGGACCCCAAGACCAGGGAAGGAAGCCATGTTAACTTGGCTTGACAATGGTGAGCATCCTGTCTATTTCAAGAAGCTCTCCAATGGGTCTCAGCCCATCTCAACCAAGAGAAATCAGAGAAGGCTTGAGGGAAGCTGACAACCCCGATAGCTCAGGAGCTCAGGAGCTCAGTCCCTCTGAGGCCCAACAAACGCTATAGGGGAGGGAGGAAGGAAATCTGGAAGTCTGAGATGGGTGGCTGTGGCTGCAAGAAGCCTCCTGCAAAGGGGGCAAGCAGGCAGGACTGATTCCTCAACAAGAACCTGAATGTCTGCACTGTATGCAACTCCACCAGGGCCTGCCAGCTCAGAGCACCACTCACAGGGGTCTCGTGTGATGAAGTGTGCTCCTAGGGCAGGGTGAGCGTTGGTGGGATTTGGTGTGGCCATTAGCTTGCTCTTGGCCATCTTGGTGTTGGCTTTGGCAAACTCTAGCCTCAGGGTCTGCGGGCTCTCAGGATCAAAGCGAATACCCTACATGGGAAGGAAAGGAAGAGAAAGACTTACTCTGTAGGACCCAGACTGTCAACTGCAGTGGGTACAGAAGGGCCCCAGAGACAAGCTTGCCTCAAAGACTTGCCCACACAGGGACAGAGGCAGAGGAAATGCTGCTTGGGCCTCGTGAGTTATGGCGCGTGACACAGACAGTGCAGTCAAGGACTCTGCCCTGGGATGGCTGGGAAACAAGGTCCATCTGTGGGCCCTTTTCTTGGGCATGGAGTTGGGGAAGGTTTGTAGAGGACAGAACTGAGATAACCACTGCCTGAGAGGTCTGTGGGTCAGAGAAAGACCTGTTCTCTGCCTACTCACGTTCAACGCATTCTTGGCCGCTTCTGCTCCTGCCCGGCTGTCAAAGATCACAAAACCAACAGGCTAGTAGGAAAAAGAAAGAACACCCTTGCATCTCTCACAACATCCCATCTCCCCCGCCAAAACAAAGGACCATCACCTAACTGGAAACAGTATTTGTCCTGCTGATGAGAATAGAGAAGGAAAAACCCAAAAGAAAAAAACTCTTGCCCACATCCTATGTTCAGTTGGAACAGCAGAAGGTTCATGTGCACTAANCCAGATGAGTAAAAATCGAGGCACAGAAGTCATTAAAAGCTTGATGAAGTTCACAAAGACAGAAAGAGGCAGAGGCAGGTGGTCTGGCTATGAGGCCACACTCAGGACACAGTACGGGGCCTGGCCATGGTGTTCAGGGGTGGCTGAACCACACTCTCAGCTCTCCACCTTGTATCCTCCACATGGCCTCATAGCTGATCTTCTCCCTTCCCTCTGTCAGATTCCAAACCCTAAGGGCAGGAACGTGGAGGTCCCTGGGGCCTGGGCTGTGGAAGACAACCGTTCTGCTGCAGCTCTGGGGACAGGAGTGGCACCGTGGCCAGGAAGGTACAAAATCTGGCCAGCTTAGAGTCCTCATTCTTCCCCTTCCCACTCCCCACCCAAAGGGGCTTACCTGAGCGTGCAGAGCAGCGGCAGCAGCAGTGGCAGCTGGGTAGGTGAACGCAGCGTGGGAGATGGCTGGGGTCAGCTCTGTGGTGTACAGAGGGTAAGGGGCCCAGGCCTCTGGGGATGCAGGGATCAGAGCAGCCCCCATCAGGTCATCTACAATGGGAGACAACAGCCTCCATCGTCAGAACACTGGTCTCCCCTTCCACTACCACCTTACAAAGACAGGGACCCAGCATTATGGTTGAGCCATAAGACCCCCACTGAAGCCAGACACACATCCCCAGGACCCCAAGACCAGGGAAGGAAGCCATGTTAACTTGGCTTGACAATGGTGAGCATCCTGTCTATTTCAAGAAGCTCTCCAATGGGTCTCAGCCCATCTCAACCAAGAGAAATCAGAGAAGGCTTGAGGGAAGCTGACAACCCCGATAGCTCAGGAGCTCAGGAGCTCAGTCCCTCTGAGGCCCAACAAACGCTATAGGGGAGGGAGGAAGGAAATCTGGAAGTCTGAGATGGGTGGCTGTGGCTGCAAGAAGCCTCCTGCAAAGGGGGCAAGCAGGCAGGACTGATTCCTCAACAAGAACCTGAATGTCTGCACTGTATGCAACTCCACCAGGGCCTGCCAGCTCAGAGCACCACTCACAGGGGTCTCGTGTGATGAAGTGTGCTCCTAGGGCAGGGTGAGCGTTGGTGGGATTTGGTGTGGCCATTAGCTTGCTCTTGGCCATCTTGGTGTTGGCTTTGGCAAACTCTAGCCTCAGGGTCTGCGGGCTCTCAGGATCAAAGCGAATACCCTACATGGGAAGGAAAGGAAGAGAAAGACTTACTCTGTAGGACCCAGACTGTCAACTGCAGTGGGTACAGAAGGGCCCCAGAGACAAGCTTGCCTCAAAGACTTGCCCACACAGGGACAGAGGCAGAGGAAATGCTGCTTGGGCCTCGTGAGTTATGGCGCGTGACACAGACAGTGCAGTCAAGGACTCTGCCCTGGGATGGCTGGGAAACAAGGTCCATCTGTGGGCCCTTTTCTTGGGCATGGAGTTGGGGAAGGTTTGTAGAGGACAGAACTGAGATAACCACTGCCTGAGAGGTCTGTGGGTCAGAGAAAGACCTGTTCTCTGCCTACTCACGTTCAACGCATTCTTGGCCGCTTCTGCTCCTGCCCGGCTGTCAAAGATCACAAAACCAACAGGCTAGTAGGAAAAAGAAAGAACACCCTTGCATCTCTCACAACATCCCATCTCCCCCTCCAAAACAAAGGACCATCACCTAACTGGAAACAGTATTTGTCCTGCTGATGAGAATAGAGAAGGAAAAACCCAAAACAAAAAAACTCTTGCCCACATCCTATGTTCAGTTGGAACAGCAGAAGGTTCATGTGCACTAAAAGTCAAAAATCTCTCTCCCTGGTATCACACTGTGGGAAATAATACCAACAAAGCTTTATTCCTCTGAATTAAACGTTACCCTTTGACTAAAAGTCTTTCTTTAAATGCATGCAGATAATTAAGTTCCAGTGTTTTCCCTGGCAAGAAAGGGGACACCAATGTATCAAGGGCAGGGGAAGGCTCAAGATTTAACCCAGGGGCAACAGATTGAAAATATCTCCAACTTCACTTTGCCAAGGATCAATCTAGCCCCCAATGGCCACTGAAGGCTCTGGGCCCTGGCCTCCTTGCATCAGGAGGCAGAGCTCAGCTACCATCTCCATCATCCTCAACCGTGGACTGAGGCAGTGGTTCCCAGATCCCTAATTGCCAGACAGGGAGGACCAGGAGCTGACTGGGCCCGGATGGCTGGTAAAGAGGAGGAGGGACCTGTGGAGGCCACCCTTTCATTAGCCCAGGACAGAAACAAGGGACAGGGTCTCCACTGCCAGATGCCTCAAGATTAGGGAAAAGGCAACATGCCTCAGTTTGAAGCTCAGCAGTCCAGGCTGGAAGGAAGAAAAACCTAGGAGAGAAATTACCTGTCTTGAGGTGAGCTTGATCAGGGACCCTTCATACCCCTGCGGAGAGAGGTAGCCATTACGGGGGAAGCTAACCCAGCACCCCCCGCCAAGCCCCACCTTTCCCCAGTGCTCGCCTGGATCATTCTCACAGCCTTCTCCCCACTAGTTGGCTCACGCTGACCTCTACCACTGTCACGTGCCCGCTGCCCCTGTGTTCTGAATCACATGGTCTAGCGCACGGGTGGGCATCATGTGGCAGCCTTCATCATTTCATGCGTAAATCCCCGTTTGCTCCACTAACTTATAATTCGGGAGCACAGACCTTAACTTTTAAGTTTTCTCATCTGCAAATTGAAAAGGCTACACTGAATCTCAAAGATTCCTTAGATGGCAAAGTCTACTAAGATGCTTTATTGTCTCTACTGCACAGATGAGGAAACTGAGGTCCGGAGAGGCAACACAGGTGAGGGAAGGCAACACGTGAATTAGCAGAACCAGGACAGAGAGCCAGGTCTGCAATCACAGTTCCTGATACACTTTTCTGCATATTCCTGCTGCCCAATACAGATCAGAGATTCATTCCTGATACTTGTCCCCGGTCCTAGGATCTATCCTGTGGGTGGCTGGGTCCTGACTCACCTTGAATGGCCGGAAGAGCAGGTAGAGTTCTCTGGGTTTAATGTCCACAGGGAGGCCACTGACAAACAGCGTCCGGACCTGGGGACAGAGACCACAGTGGTCAGGTCCAGGCTGGACAGGAAGAACTGGGAGGATGGCTCTTCCTTCAGGCAGGGAACTGGACTCCTTCTAGAGCTTAGAAGGAATTCAGTACTTCCTGGGCCTCCTATGGACACTGAGGCAAAGTATGACTCACAGGTTCATAGCATGGAACTTTTCAAAGCCCTTTCTGTCCACCTTCCTTTCTTTAGGTTCATCCTGGGTGTGTCATTCAGTAAGCATCTGCTGAATGCCTCTGTGCACAGACTCAGTCTGCTGGTGAACAGAGGCAAGAAGAAAGAGCCCTGTTCATTTATTTATTTATTTATTTATTAAAGCTACCTTTTTTTGTCTTTTTTCGTGACCGGCAACGGATCGCAACCCTCAGTGTCGCGCCCGTAC